ATAGCAAGGAACATTGAAAATATGTTCAAATAAAAAAAAATATTAAAAAGATAATTCTAAACTCTTTTTAAAATTAGGCACTCCTCTGAGAAAGCAGGAATAGTTTCTGTGCAGAGCTTTGAAGACCATAGAGGCTAAATGTATACCTATGTGACTACTTGTATACATTCATTATGACTCCACAAAACAAACCTTTGTTCTATGCATAAATACCACTGCTCTAAATACACGCCATCACAAACCTAGAACCTTAACAGCACATTCCTGTGTTAAGAAATAAGTTCCACTGAATTCATTGAGACATATACCTAGATGAGGGTGTACAGAGTTGCGCCTTAACTCTTAAACAAACTGAGGTGACCTCCAGTTTCCATAATACACCCATTTAACAAAATGAACAATTTTAAGTTTTATCTGTATCTCTGGTGCCCGTTATAATTTGCTCAAAATTAGAAATATTTGTAATGTTATTAACTATAGAAAAGGAAATTATTTCAACACAATAATTAACTGAACATTTTATTTTAAAAATAAACTGGAACACAAAGACATCATTTACAATAGCGGTTGTCTAAAATTAGGTCACTTTAAATATTAATTCAGTGCCACCCACTTGCAATTCTTAGAGAGCTGCCTCCGGCTCATCTACAAGAAGAAATTAACATATAAATACAGTAAAATCCACCATCACAAATACAATATGACAGCGCTTCACTTACCAACAGTTAAATCAACTGACTTCTTAACCTTACTGTAAGACTCCAGTTTGATAGCCATAATGTCCAGGATCAAAGAATTCAAATCCACTGCCATTCTTTCATTTCCTCCCTCCCTCTCTCTTTCTCTCCCGCTCCCAGTTTCCAAGCACACCTCTGTACTTTCAGGGCTGTGCTTTGTCCCTTCCCTCCCCTCCCCCACCTTCACACATGATATAACTCACTTCAGGGGAGTTTAAAGCTGATGTGCACAATTCTGCTAATCAAGACCTTGGAGAAACAATATCCACAGACATTGGCCCTGCCTTACTAAACAGAGAAATGGTTGATTTTTCTTACACTTATATCATTCCACATGTTTGAAAGGCACCATTTAAATCAGCCTGTCATTAGCCAGAGACAATATGAACTGCCCCCCCAAAGCATATCCAGTTTTCCCTTTAGCTCCGAAAGACTTACCGGCTGTTAGTTAGGTAAAAAGGGAAACTTTGGCCAGAATCCTGTTGGTATTGTGCAGCATAAACCAACAATGACATAAACACTGTATACTAACTACAGTACATTGGTAGCCATCCACTGTGAGTTCTGCATAGCCTGGGCTAGGCAATTGGCTGTACATCCAGTTGCATGTCTGAGGAACAAGATGCAAAACTAACTGCATGGTTGCCCCTTTGCATGTTATATTTTGCAATGGGATTTTGGTTGCTGGTTCCAGCCATTACTACACGTCTCTCCAAAACAGATGTTTCATTTCATACCATTTTGGATGCTGCCTTTCAACACTCCAAAGACTTTCGGTTTGCTGGTCTTTTAAGGCTTAAGAATAGGAAGCATGCACTCCATTTGTTTGATGGACTGAGACATATGTTATAAGGGAGGGGTTCACAACTCTAAAGTGAAGAAGATCCCCATTTAACATGTTCATTTTATGCCCATTTCATTAACAAAATGCAGAAATGCTGAAAATATGTATTCCTAATTTTACATGCTAACTAAATATAAAAAGTATTTTCAATCAGGGGATTGCACACATGCATGCACGCATACACCTATCAAAGAGTTAAGTTCCTCTGACGTTATCTGGAGTAATTTTTGCTTATACTGCACTGTTAGTGTGATCTATATGTTTCATAGAAATGTATACTTGGAGAAATATTTGAGTGCTTAAAAATACTGACTTTTGTTGGGACTAGGTGGTTTTTATTTGTTTTACTCTAGCTACCTAATTTGACTTGTATCATGCTCATGCCTTAATTCCTTTTATGCAAAAATTCACTTCAAAAAATAGAACATTACAGAAAAACACAGAAGTGGAAATGTTTGCGTACAACATAATTACTTCTTGCCCATGTATCTTTTAAGAGTGGTTCTGCAATCACTTCTGAAAATGAAGCAGTAACATTATGATCTGGACTACAACATGACAGATTAAAAGGTAGAGGTCCATTGTTCTGAACACTATCCCAAGTAGGTAAAAGCTTTCTTCATATATTAAGCCAGTGTATTAGGGAGAAAAGGTTGGTATAGCTCTATCCTCACTTCCATATAATTGCTTACTACATTCAGGAAACTTTTTTGTGAGAGAAAGCCTTGAAAAAAATACGTCACTTACAGTCTGAACCAGTCCGGTCCAGTCTCTTTCCTTCTTGTTCTACTTAATATGTAGATTGGCTGTTCACTCCAATCTAAGCAAGTGGTAGATTAAGGTGCCAGAATCCTGAGTTGGCAGTATATCACTGAGGGCAGCAGGCCACGAATATCCTTTGAAGATTCCCAATATTTTTCAGAACTATACCATTTTTAAAGAAAACATCTGACCAGGGAGAAAGTTTCCAGCTCAGCCTACTATGTACTGTATTATTTCTTCACTTACAAAAGGTGTTGCTGTTTCTAAAGGAAAGGAACCCTCCAAAAGGTTGACTCACCATCCATAGTATCAAATGGTACAATCACCTCTACCATCACATTTCCCTGCATGGATAACTGAGAATTTAGTTGTTTCAGAACCCAGAATATACAATGAGTCATAGGAAGCTACAGAAAATCCAATTAGCCCATTCCCTCATTCATCAATTTATATCAGGTTTCTAAGATGTATTATCTTGCTGATAACCCAGAATCTACACTGATCACAGAGTCCAGGCTCTCCTTCATTCCCTATTGGATGCAAAAGGATGAGCCTCTGATTGTCACAACATAGATTTTCACAATGAAACACAAGGCATACTGCTGCTTTAGAAAATGGGAACAACATGGTTCTTATAATCACAATGGAATAGAGAATCTTGGTTGTAAATTAATGTCAAAGCATTTCTGGATAAATAACACTGACATAGGCCAAATATTTGTGTATTATTCTACAAACAATTTAAGCTTCTGTAACTCTTGATTAGATACATTCTTGCCCCACTTCATTCTTCCAGCACTTTCTGTCAGTATTCTGTGTACCTTTTCTTGTTCACTTTCTTTTTAAAGCCCAAACTTCCTTTTAGGAAATTTCAGTTTTTACAATGACAGACTTATTGATGAATATGTTATAATAAGTGAGTACTGTTCATTCAGTATCTTTCACAAAGAAATTTGCTAATAGTTAATACCTGTGTTTCCAAGATGTAGATGTGGATGTAGTTAAAAATCACTACCACTCAAGGAACTTTTTGCATGTAATATTATTTCCTGAGAAAACTGCTTGCACAGTTCCTCAGCTTGATTGATCCTCATTTGATTTCTTTACTTAAAATGTATGGAAGAACATTCTGAGTAGATTTTTCCTAGACTCTCTGTAATTATACTTCTACCATCCCAAAACTAAGGGAAACTAAGGCTAACTAGAAAGAAGGATGCTGGGTTCTCACAAGGACAGAACACCCCCTCACACATAAGCTTTTAAATTTAGCCTCTCTCCAAAATTTGTAGAACTTTGCTAAATAACTTTTTTTCTTGAAGGAGACAGGACTTAGAGGAACGAATGATCATTTCATATGCCTCAAGATGAAGCCTTGATATTGTCCTGAGCCTTTCTCCATCTCAAAACTGAGAAAAATATGAAGTCAGTATTACAGAAACAAAGGCCAACTGGTATAGGCTGGGATTGCTCCTTCCACTATTATCTGCCCAAGATGTTTGGAAAGAAGGAGAAAAGGGAACCACCTCACAGCATCTTCCGTATTGCTGCTTTACTAAGGATGATACTGTAATGCTCCCTTCCTTTCTGATTGGGTAGGGATAGTCTGGCCCAGCAAATTCTTCACATCAATCTTTTCGACTTATAGGCCACTTTCTAAAGGGAGTTTCTGGCATTCCAAACAAGCACAGCTGGGTGAAATGAATAAAAACACAGCTATGGGCTCTTCTCTAAACACCCTTCTAGATTCCCACAACTATCTGTTCAAGCAAACATGACAGGAACAAAGTCTGCTCTTCTAGTTTCCAGGATACCTCAAATAATCAATCATAATAGGATTACTAGCATAACAGCAGGAATGGTCAACATCATGAGACGCATTGTCCAAAGCAGCTGCAAAAGCAAATTTATCAAAATCCTTACAGTTATATGACATGTTTATCAAAATATGGTGCTAACTGTTTCATTCATAAGGGAAAAAACTAAATATTTGTGAATGGAAGCCCAGATTTCCTACACAACACGCAAGGCAGACCATGTGCTTGTGCTTACGACTTTCCAGCTTGTTTCTGTACAGTACTGTTAACCTACAGACAGGTGAAGTCTGTCAATGCCCAAATATAAGCATCATTATATGTGATAATATCTGCAGATCAAGCTGCTTCCTGAAGACAGGGAGGGCATGGGGTTAGGAGGACAAGAGGAGACAAGCCCGTTTGTGACCCAAAATGTGAAGCTTTTTTATTTAGCCATCTATTTAACAGGCGATCGATCTCACAGGAGAGTTTGCTCACGAAGGTATTCAAGTTACGACGCAGGACGGTAGCCCAATATAGTACCCTCTGTGACGACTCCTGCGCCTTATAAAGGGGGCTGGGTTCCTGACGGGGGAGGGAACAGCGATTCATCCTCCCCTCTTTTTAAGACCCCCACGGAGGGAGGCCACGGCAAGTCAACCTCCTCTGAAGGAAAGGAAAGGTGTGGGGGGGGGCGGGATACAAAGCCTGCTGTTATGTTTTTTTTCCCGCCCAGTGGGGTGAGTCTG